GATGTTGATCTTCTGTGCTGGGCCATCCTTTTGGCCAGTGGCTGTTTTGTTTCCCCGTTGTAAGACTGATCACAGCTCTCCTGACACTGAACAGCATACACGATATTACTCTGTTTGTGCCGGGGGACTGGATCTTTGGGATGAACCAGTCTTTGCCGTAATGTATTTTGGGGTTTAAAAGCCACTGGGACGTTATGTTTAGAAAATAAACGTCTCAGTTTCTCTGATACTCCCTCAACATATGGAATGACCACTGGTCTGGGTCTGGGTTCCTCCTTTTCACCTGTTGGCTGACTGGAGTCCTGTTTGGGTTTCTTCTCTGCTTTCAGGAAGGCCCAGTTAGGATATCCACATTGCTCTAGAGCCCGTCTTGTGTGGGATTTCTCCTTCTGCCTGGCTCCTGAGCTAGTGGGGATGCTGTCTGCTCTGTGATACAGAGTCCTGATGACTCCTAACTTGTGCTCCAAAGGGTGATGGGAGTCAAACTGCAAATACTGGTCTGTGTGGGTGGGTTTGCGGTACACCTCAGTTTGCAAATGTCCTCTATCAGAGACTGAGACCTCACAGTCCAAGAAAGCCAACCTGCCATTTTTTACATCTTCTCTTGTGAACTTGATGTATTTATCCACAGAGTTGATGTGGTCAGTAAAATGTTGGACTTCCTGAGATTTAATTTTAACCCAGGTGTCGTCAACATACCTGAACCAATGACTTGGTGGTGTCCCTGAAAAGGACGTCAAGGCTCTCTTTTCTACCTCCTCCATGTACAGGTTGGCAACAATAGGAGAAACTGGAGACCCCATAGCACACCCATGTTTCTGCCTATAATATTGCTCCCCATATGTGAAGTAGGTTGACTACAGGCACAGTTTCAAGAGTTGACACAGTTGTTCTGTGGAAAGCGTGGTCCTGCTGCTCAGAGTGGTGTCTGATTTTAATCTTAAACTGACCACCTCTACTGCATCATCAACAGGAATGCACGTAAAGAGTGATGTGACATCAAAAGAGACCATTGTTTCATCAGTCTCCATGATGACATCCCTCACCCTTAGAGACTGGGCTGAATACAGCACCTCAGACTGAGGAAGTCTTTCAGATGAGAGACGAAACGTTTCTACGTTTTTTTGCTTTGTTTTGTTTTTTGTTTCTTTGAATGTCCAGAGGACCAGATTTGAACTTTTTTGGATTAGTGTTTAGATGTTTTATTGCACAACAATCAACACAGTCATTTAACTAAAGAAACAACATTCTTCATTTTTTCTGCAGGTTGGATGCGGAGTTGGAAACAGTGTATTTCCTATCCTTAACACTATCAAGTGAGTAATTCTAATAAATAGGGATGCACAATATTGGATTTTTAGCCAATATCCAATATGTTATAACTTATTTGGCTGGTAACCGATACCAATACCAATATTTTTTCCCTAGACCTACTTACAGGGACTACATAGCTTTCTCTGCTGTGGAATTAAAATACTACATTATTCTGCATTGTCTTTGTCATCTTGGCCAGCTACCATAATGGATGAAAATGATGTAACACTTCAACTGGGAATAGTTTTTATGTCAAATTTATCCATGACATTTACTCTCTCTAACACAATGACAACACTCGAACAGTGCAAATTTGTAAATTTTCACAAATCTAGAGTCAACGGCGCGCGTGACGTCATAACGTGCTGGCGCTGCAGGCGTCCTTTTCACTGGGTTGTCATACTAAAAGAGCACCTTTATGTAAATCGCTCCTTTTATATCTGTGAATTATTTTGATGGAATAGCCAATGTCCGATATTTAATTTTATCGCTAATATCGGCCGATACGATACCATGCCGATAATATTGTGCATCCCTATTAATAAATTCTTATGAAGTAAGAAAAACCTCAAAATGTTATGATCAGCCCTGCATTAAATTGAAAGTAGTAGTTTTGATAAATATGGGCAAAATACCTCAGCGCTGCAGTGTTGGATGTTTTTGGATGATTAAAAGTTGTATGTGTTTGTTTTGTTTGACAGAGGAACAGACTCATTTTTATATTGTTGTGACTTCTCTCCTTATGCCATAAAACTGTTTAAGGTATGTTTTATATATGTATATATATACAACAATGAGTAAGATATGTAATCTTTTTGCCTGTGTGTGTTTGCGTCTGTCTGTTAGCAAAATATTGCATAAATGACTGAATAAGTTTTGATGAAACTTGCAAAAAGTATTAGAAGTACTTCTACAACTAATTATCTTTTGGAGTCAACCTGTTTTTGGCTACCACAGCCATCTGACACACACAAAAAACTTAAATATATATAACTCAGTAAAATTACACATATTGACCCAAAATTTAGTCTGGTAGTAGCTGGCCTAATTTATCTTCCTCTTTTAGGAGCATCCAGATTACGATGACTCTGTGTGTCACGCCTTTGTCCATGACATTTGTGAGGACGTGGCTTCTTTTCCCTTCCCTCCGCAGAGCCTGGATGTTGTCTTAGCAGTATTCGTGCTCTCCTCCATCCATCCACAACGGTAGGTGAAGGTTGGAGCAAAACAAGTGAGAGCCTGGTATTGTTTACCACTTGCTGACCCCCAACCCACCTTCATTTCCCCGAAGCTTTTTGCAGATCCATAATATGAAATCAGTTTAGTGTGTTATATTAGCTCTGTAACGAGTTGTTGAGCTAAAATGTGCATATTTTTTCCAGTTTACTGTTCATTCAGCGCCTCCTTCTTGTATACTTCTGTTTGTAACTGCTCCAGACTATGATACAGGATAATTGTGTACATGATTATGAATCATTCACACAATTGTGATCCATTTTTCTTCCATACATTTTTCAACATCTTTCTCATTCCACAGTTTTTGTGCTATTTCTATAAACCATACATCAAAACGTTCAACTTTTTCAGGACAGTCCTGCTATGACTTTTGGTATTGGTGCAACTTTAGCTTTTTGAAATATTTAGCCTTTTCTGCCACTTTTTTTTCTCATAGAAAATGAATTGAGCATCCTCAAATCCTTAGATCTGTTTACAGCCTTTTATTGCTCCTTTCACATTTTGTTCTGGTTCAGCTTCTTTCAGCTTCCTGTTCAAATTTAAAAAAAAAAATTTCAGCTAATTTCACCTGTTTTTTTTTCCCAGCAGTTTTGTGCTCCTTTCAGACTCTTTCTGCTAATTTCAGCTTGTTATAATCCTTTCAGCTCATTTATGCAAGTTTCAGCATTTACTGCTATTTCAGCTACTATTTAGCTGTTTTATGCTAATTTTAGCTTTGTCAGCTAATTCCACTTTTTTGCAGTAATTTAAACTTTTTTCAGACTAATTCAGCAAAAATGTGCTCTCTCCACTTTCTTTTAGCAATTTAAGCTTTTTTCTACTTTTTTAACTACTTCAATTTCAACTTTTTGTGCTAATTTCTGCTTCTTTCAGTATAATTTGGCGAACGTGTTCTTTCTGCTTTCTTCTGCTAATTTAAGCTTGCTCTAACTTTTCAGCTAGCATTTTAGCATTTTTAAGCTAATTTCAGCTGTTTTCAAATAAAGTCGAGTTTTTTCATGTTAATTACTACTTTCAGCCTAATTACGGTAACTTCTTTATGCTAATTTCAGCTTGTTATGCTCCTTTCAGTTTTTGTCTGCTAGTTTCAGCCGTTTCTGCTCTATCAGCTACTATTTAGTTCCTTTTATGCTAATTTATTCATTTATTCAGCTAATTCCAAATTTTTTGAGCTCATTTCATCTCTTTCCACTTCCATCTGGTAGTTCAGGCTTCTGTCAGCCTTTTCAGCTTTGTTTGTTGCTACCGTAATTTCAGCCTTTTTAACTAATTTCCTAGTTTTTGTTCTCATTTCTGCTTATTTAAACCTAATTCAGCAAATATGTGTTCTTTCTGCTTTCTTCTTCTAATTTAGGCTTGTTCTTCCATTTCAGCTATATTTCAGCATGCTTTTTTAGCTAATTTAAGCTGTTTTTCAGCAAGTTCTTCTGCAATAAGCATTCATACTGAAATGCAATTTCTCTAGTGAATTTTAATTTCTTTGGCAGGATGCAAGGAGTTGTGAACCGACTGTCTGCTTACCTGAAACCAGGAGGGGTATTCCTCTTCCGTGATTATGGGAGATATGACTTATCCCAACTCAGGTTTAAGAAGGGTGAGGCTAATTTGTTGCCATCCCATTTGATCTCTAATGTTTTTTTGACAATCAGACTCATGTTTATTGTTGTAGACTAACTGGTTACTATTTTTGTTTGTGATCAGGACAGTGCTTATCAGATCATTTCTACACACGTGGAGATGGAACCTGTGTTTATTTTTTCACAAAAGGTACTGATGCTGATCAAATGTTGACGGCTTGCAAACCTAATCTAACGTGAAGCATGCATTCTGTTTTGGTGAATATTGTTTCATGAGATATTTTACTAACAGACGGACAAACAAACACAGAAAGACAGGAACATAATTACATTATTATTTCCATTTTGCTTTCAGTGACGGGTGATAATCGAGTTAAACGAAATAAGTAATTTCATCTGACATGCTTGTCAATTTAAGTTTTGGAGGCTAAACTCAGAATGAGAATATCACTAGTTTATCCATGGGTTCTATTTGATTTTTATTTTACAGAAGAGGTTCGTGATTTGTTCACCAACGCTGGACTGGAGGAAGTTCAGAATCTGGCGGACAGACGGCTACAAGTGAACCGAAGAAAGAAAGTTGTGATGCATCGGGTTTGGATGCAGAGCAAATACAGAAAACCATATTCTTCATCCCAACACTCCTCTGTGCACCCCTCAGTAACAGAATAAATGTTTATTTACACCTGAAAGGTTGTATAAATTATGTGGGGAAATGTGTATTGCAATAAAATGAGTAAAAAAAACAATAAACTAATGAAACATATTGCCATCTGGACTGTTGTGCCTTATATCAGAGGGACAGATAGACAGAAGACAGATTATCAGGTACACTGATTTAAAAAAAAAAAACCTGCAGTCCATCCTGCGGCT